GATTGCCATTCCATTCGTAATTAAAGTCCGCGACTTGCACTGCGCGTTTGATCCGATATTCCACGAAGGACGGACACGTCGATCGCTCGATCGGCCGAGGAGCGGAGGCCTCCCTCCTCGGTGCCCCTCGTCCGGAAGTCCGACACGGGAGCACCCCTCTCTTCCCTCTGTTCGCCGTCTTTCCGAAGGCTCGCGAGTTGAGCTCTCACTTAGCGGCCGCGGTGTCACGATCGGGACCGGCCGCATTAGCATATCTCCACGATGCAACGGTGTAAGGGGTGCGAATGGCGGGGGGTGCGGGAGGACGGCGGGCGGAGGAGGAAGAGAGACAAAGCGAATGGTCGCGGAACGGCGTTATACGAGTGGCGAGAGCGATCGACCTCGTGGGTCGTGAAAAGGCGCACGATCCGCAATGCGAATCGGTGGGGAGGGGAGGGGGTTCTCGGGGGCAGAAGGTAGAGAAGGAGGAGACGAGGAAAGGGCGGAGGGGACAGAAGACTCACTCAGGCCGAGGCCCCGTCCCGCTGCCTGTAATGCCTGTTACCTGTACGTCGCGTGTTTGCCTACCCGCGTCACGATCAGGATCCTATTTGCATAGCGCCGATGAAGCTGCTACCGTTCTGCGCCGTCTGCGAGTCCTCTCGGAGGACGCGCGTCGGCGGTGTACGTGGGTGTGCACAGGGTGTCGTGCAAGTCGTGGGCTCTCTCTTCCATGACCAAATGTACGAATTTTTAGGAGCCACGATGATTACAATAAGAATGTGCGTCTCCGAATATATCCTTACGTGGGACGAAGGGAGCGATTGCGAATGGAATCTTTCTGCGAATCGTTAACTTGCCCGAGAGCCTTCAAGGCTACACTTCGAGTCTGAACCACTTAAGACTCTTCAAAAATTAATGTTTTTGGATAATTTAATATTAATTATTGACAATTTTACTAATTTTATTATATTCTTCAGTCTTTTCTACCCCAATTTCATATATAACTCTCAAAGGTTTGATTAATTAGACCCAGCTTTATACACGATCAAAGGTCCATAAGCGAGGTCCATATATGGACCATGTAGCCTTTAAGGGTTAAAGGATGAAATTCGTCATCCGGATGCATTCGACGATCAATCGGAAGAGCAGCGCGTGGCGTATCTCGAAATTTCCGTTTATTAACGTTTGAACCGAGCAACGTCGACCGTGACTGAAGCGGCGAGGAAGGAAGGAATTAAGGGTTTGGAGCTCGGGATAATAAATGCCCCGCATACCTACTTATTACTTTAACGAGCGGACGCTTTTGCATCGCGCGGCTCTCGCGGCACGCGTGTGCCCTCGGTCACGGAACGCGCGATGATTTACCGGCACATCACGTGCGCTCGCGCGACTCCTCAAGAGTACGTCTGGTCTACGCGTCTCTGATTGTTTTATCGATCTTCGCTTCGTTAAATCAACGGGAACCGGGGCTCTCGCCCCGGTCCGTAGATGCAATTAATCTCGCCGTCTCTTTGCGACCTTGGACGCGAGCGCGTCTCGAAGATGTACGCGGCGTCGCGAGGGTCCTATCCTTAATCGCACTTGTTCTTTAGGGAATTAATAAATCGAATATAATTCTATTATATGTTGAATTTGCTTGCCAGAGAACAATAGGTGCAACTTTTCCTGCGAGTAAAAAGGTGAAAATTTCTGAGGCAAACTTACCCAAAGTCTAATTAATTCTCTGTTTTTTCCAACAAGACGCGCAAAGCTTCCTCAAAATTAACGTCCTTCAAAGATTTATAACTTGAAAAATTCAGAGCTCCCGAGATTCCAAAGATCCCAGAATTCCTCCGATTCAGAACTGCAAGATTTCAAGTAACTTCCACAGTTCGAAACTACAAAACTACAAACTAAGGGTCTGAGGTAATAAGATATCGAACGAACTTATCGTTGCGTGACGCATCAATCGCGCCGGTCGGAGGCACCGGTAAATCGGCCGGAATTTGAGGCTCATTAGCGGGGACGGAGTATATCGGAAGGACGTGGTGGAGTGGCGGGATCGAAAGTACGAGCTTCCGGCTCCGTTCTTCAGCGCGACGCCCGGAGTCGCCGCGACGCGATTGCTCGCTTCTTGCATAAAGCGGGGGCCGAAGGTGTACACGGGCGCGGCGGTATCGGTTCCGAGAAAGGCTTATCAGGCCGCGGATATGTTAATGGCGGCCGTGTTGCCTCCCCGCGGACCCCTCCTACCCCGCCGCCTCTTCGAGATATATTGCACCCCAACCGTCGTTGCACGACGGAGGTGGTTGGACGCTCGTAAAAGTGGTGGTCGTAGGTGCGCAGCCCCCTTTCACGATCGGCGATGTATGCAATGTGCATGCACGCGCAATTAAGACTGTTCCGAGTTTCAAGGGAGTCCTGAAGATTAAGTTTTCAATTGATCGTCAAAATATTAGAACAGGACTGTATAGGTATTGCAGATTATTTCGTATTTTCTTAGGATTCACCTCGTATTCTTTGAAGACGTTTTCTTCCATCCCTTCGTCAGAACCTTCAGAAGCTCAGAAATTTCATTTCTAAACTTGAGAATATCCGAGTTGCGGGATAGATCTTAATAATTTTTTTTTACAGAAAATTATATGTATTTGTTTCGCCAATAATTAATAAACGAGAAAAAAATTTTTTTTTATTTTTTCACATTTAAATTTTATTTTAAGATATTCAAAATGTTGCGTTTCTAGTTTGTAATTTTATGACTAAGAATTTTTTTTCGGAACTCGAAGCTTAAGTCTCAAAACTTTTGTCAGGCTCTTTGAAATTTAGCATATTTGGAGCCGTGAATTTCGGAAGGTTGGAGGAGATTCTTCGGATCCTGAAATTCGGGCTGTTTCAAAGCCTTTTAAATCCACGGTACGACCATTGTATTCTTGAATTTTCGGACGTGGTAGGATTATTCGAATGCCCGGATCCTCAGATCTCCGAGCCGATCGCGAGTCCAATCCACGCTCGAAGAGATCATCTTGAAATCTCCCGGCTCGATAATAGAACCTCGGAGGGGGGGGAAGGAAACCAACCGTGCGAGATAAGAGAGCTTATCTGCAACTTCTATCATTCACACCTCTCGCTTCAATCATACGATAGAGAGATCTATTCGCGGCCTTCTCTTCACCGTACACCTCTCCTCTCTCCAATCGTACATCTCAGATCACGAGATGGAGCAGGAGGAAGAAGAGGAATAAGAAGAAGAAGCGGACAAGGGTCGCGTATGAACTCGCAGAGACGTCGTCGCTGGCGAACGTATGCATGGCTGTGCAATTAAGGCCCGCGATCGTGCTCGTTCCCGAGAGGGACGGAAATAGATCCGTAGGAGAGAAAAAGGGAGGCTCTGCCGCACCGTGCCCTGCCATGCCACGCCACGCCACGCCACGCCACGCCACGGCCGATCCATCGATGACCGCTTATTTACAGAGAAGCAGAGAGGAAGGAACACGACCCGAGTGTAGATGCTAGCGCGGGATAGCCCACGAGGCGCGCTCCGCAACCCTTTGCCCAATCTCCCCATGCATCTCTCTCTCTCTCTCTCTCTCTCTCCGAGTACTCCCTCGCGTCGGGGCCCCCTCTGTCACTCTCCCCGTGTCCGCTCCTTCTTCTCCTCGCCTGAGGAGGCAATTAAAGCATCCGCGTAATTCTCGAGTCTCGATCTCTCGCGACGACGAACCACCTGGTGGATCGTTCGAGCTCTCCTCGAAGTTCTTGATGATCGATGGAAAAAATGTCTTGAGAATCGTGTATATTTAAATATGATTTCTTATATTAAAACCTTGATCGAAAAATATCTTATCGTTATGATCAGAAGGGCCGAATGATCAATTTTCTGGTCGTAATTATTTAATAATTAAAATATTTACATTAAAGGAACGCAATCTTTAAAGTTTTTCAGCATTGATATCAATTTTCTTTTGAATATTTCTTCCTAACAGTTAACTATTCAAATACTATATTGAAAGCGTAATTTCTAATTAATTCCCAAATTCCGCGACGAGAATGAATTTTCTCAGAGATTCCTTCGATCGTCAGTGATATCCCTAGCTTCCTGGCGCAATCCTCAGAGTTAAATGTCCTATCAATGCATCCATCACACACGCTCGCCGGGACCAGCCCTTAGACACTAAACTATTCGACAGGCTGCGCTTGTCGAGCAAGCCGAACGCGCGACCCCGAGGTGGGGGATGAGAGGTGGCGTGCGAAGGGTGCAATTGGTGGTTGTGCCGGACGGGGGTAGACCGAGCCGGCGAGAGAGTAGGGAACGTGGGGTACGCGAAGGGCCGCTGTACCGAGAGCCCATTAGGCACCCGGACAGATCCGGAGAACGGTTTCTCTCATCGCGACACCTCGCCCAGCTTCTCTCCGCTCCAGCGACGTCGTTATGGTCGTCTCACGGGCTACCTCCGACCGGCACTGGCGATTTCTGAAGAAATGTACGCTCGTCTGTGTTATATCACTTATATCTCTTAATCCTGGTAGAGCCGAATTCGAGCGGAAGTCGAATGAAAGACTTGGGATGACAGTGAGATAAATTCATAATTTGTAGGATTCGCTTTTTGAACGACCAGGCAGTCTTGCAAGATGGACTTTATAAATTATGGACGTAGTTTGCTCTGTCTTCGACTTGTCTTCAGGTCTTGAATTTGCAACGTTGTAACTTCTCAAGAAATCTCAAATCTTCGAACGATTAGAGTTCGATTCAAAACAATTCTAAATTATTATTTTATCACAATCTTTCAGATTTTTCTATAATATTTCTTTTAACATTCTCCGTGTTTGTCTATATTCTCACAAAAGAATATAGAAAAACATTTTTATATTTTCAGAATTATAATAATTTGTTGTTATCACTTTAAAGCGTGCGTGTTAAAATAAAATAGCGAGGTAATTTAACTGATAAGGGTGAACATTTTTATAGCGTCTGTTATTTCTCTATTATTTCATTGCGGATTGAGAATACCGATTGATGAGTGCTTCTGTTTCGGTTCCAGGGGAGGATGAGGAGTGGAGCGACTCGGAGAAGACCCCGTCAGTGAGCAGCGGTGTGGACGGTGGCGGATCGGCGGTATCGAGTCCGGTCGCAGTCGTCGAGGAGGACTCGAGTTTACCACCCCCTCCAAGACTCAACCCCGCGTTATCTTCGACCAGCTCCTCCGCCAGTGAGGACATCAAGCTGCGCCTCAGCGTGCTCTCAGAGGACGCGAGAAAGCGTCTGGCCAGCTTCGCCGAGGACATCGAGGTGCGTTGACTTTGTATTTGAGAATTAATTAGAAATTACGCTTTTAAAATAGTATTTAAACAGTTAACGTCAACATTGAGGAAAATTGTATTAAATTAATTATACAACACCGTTAGGAAGAAGTATTCGAAAGAAAATTGATATCAATGCTAAAAAAAGCTCAAGTCATTTGATTAATTGAAGATTTCTTTAATGTAAAACTAGTTATATTTTAATAATTAAGTGAAACAAGACACGCTGCAATGTACAATTAATTATAATTAGAGAAATTGCCATTTAAGGGCCGGGCTGGTATATAGCATTAATAATAACTTCAAATACGTAATTCTCCGATTAACCCGTCGATTTTCCAATTACCAATCTTTTTAAACTCATTTTTGGACTCATTCACTGAAATTTTTCCAATAAGATTTTTTTAAACGCGACTTCGAGATTTTACATTTAGAATTCAATTTTTTATTTAAAAAATACACGCAGGCTAGAGGCATAAGAGACCGCCATGCGCCGTCCAGGAGCGTGCGGACGCGGGAGTCGAGTCCCAAGGATGTCGATGAGGAGCAACAGGCCAAGGAGGACGACTGCCAGCCGAGGTCGTCGTCCTCGTTGTCGTCCACCGTCGTCAAGAGACGGGACTCCGTCTGCCGCAGGGACTCGGAGGACTCGGGAGAGACCAAGAGGATACGACTCGACGACGAGGTAGCACCAAGACTGAGACTCAATACTAGTCTGGCGACGGATCCCGCCCTGCGACCCGCCGCCGTCGCCGCCCTTACCGTGAAGCCGGAGAACACGTCGCCGCCGAATCCAACGCCGCCGCTTCCGGCTGGACTGCAGAACGGTAAGTAGGACCTAGTACGGCGACGCTTTCATTCAGAAACGCGTGAAACAGTTAGAAAGCTGTAGACGAAAGGAATTTTCAACCCGAGTCCCACACTGAAAGAAAAGTGTTTGGTATTTGCGACTATAATTGCATAGTAAAATAATTATGCTTGGGGTTCTTGTTTTTATAATTATTACTGCTATAACATTAATAAAAATAACTTTATACCAAGATCTTTCAATTATAGTCATTTTCATCATATTTATAGTACGATATTTTACTATATTTTTTACTATATGTACACAAATCACAGATTATAGTGATAAAACATGTATGTAGTTTATGAATGCATGTTAGAGCTATAATAATAGTGAGCTATATAATTCACACCGAAAATAACGAAAAATAATAGTGAACTTGTGGTAACTGCAACGATAATGTGATTTACTGGATAATTACAAATTACTAAATATAAATATTGACAAATGTATTTTAAAAATTTTATTAAAAGGGAATTTTTGGGGGAATTTGAATTAAAACTTTTGAAACTGATGTAACAGTAGATGGATAGACTCCTCCATCGGGATCTTGAGGAACCGGAACCTTTAAAGATTTATGAGAGAATTTATTATACGGAATAAGAAATAATAAATAAGTACAAGCTCACATGAACTTATCACCAGGGTCCTGATTGAATTGATTTCTTCAGCGATCGCATCAGGTCGCCTGTTCGTCCTGCCGACTGACGGCAAGGAGACAATCACGGTGGAGCCGGCCAGGCCGCCGCCGACCGCCCTGATCTGCCCGCCGTGCGGCATTCGGTTCAGCTCGGCGAGCACCCTCGAGGCCCATCGCACCTTCTACTGCGCCCATCGGCCCCGCGCGGACGAGGACGCGGCGAACGACGAGGACGACGACGGCGGCAGCAAGCCCGGCGGCAAGTTCGAAGTGCGGAAGGCATACGCGTGCCCGCACTGCTCCTACAGCGCCGACAAGAAGGTGTCCCTGAATCGTCACATGCGGATGCACGCGGCCTCGCCGGCGCCGCCGACGGTACCGTCGTCGTCGTCGGTGGCGGCGGCGGTGGCGATGGTGGCGAACGTGGCGAACCCGAACTCCTCGACGAGCAACCCGGCCGCGGCCGGTCAGACCACCGCATCCAACGGTTCCTTGAACGAGGAGGCCGAGAGATACTGCAGGAACTGCGACATTCGATTCAGCTCCTTGAAGACGTATCGGTGGGTGGACGGAAGAATAGAATGAAGAAAACTATAATGAGAAGAATTCTATTTGAAATCATAGACGCAAAAATAAAATAATGTATAAATTTAAAAGAATAGTCTGCCATTATTTAAAGAATTTACTACAACTATAGATTAAATTGTGAGAATAATTTTTAAAATAAAGTGGAGACTCTTTCTGATCTTTGAAATTTTAGGAATTTATGAATTCTTGAGATTCTCGAATTATCGAAACTTAGATTCGCGTAATAATTCAGAATTTTTGGATCCTAAAAATCTTCGAAGCTGTAGATTCTCTTAAAAATAAATATTAATCTGAAAAAGTCAATCTAATTTAATGCAAAATAAGTTGTGTAAACTTTTTTAACTGTTGTAAAAACTATAGCAATTTATAATATTATTAATTATTAATAATTTACGTTCGTATGTATAAAGATTACAGACGTTTCCTCAATTGCAATTTAATCTATTTCAGGGCACACAAAACGCATTATTGCAGCACGAGGCACGTGGTGAAGGATACGTTGCCGACGCCGACGCCGACGCCGGCATCCTCGGTGAAGGCGTCACCGCCGACCAGCTCGAGTCCTGGTGACTCGCCACCGCCGCAGCCGTGCCTGGCGCTGCCCACTAACCCCATTCTCATCGTGCCGTATTCGTTGTTCCGCGGTGCGAGCGTCCTCGCCGCGCCGGCACTTCCGGCCCCTGACACAGCATGCTTCCTTTTGCCAAACGGTATCAGTATTTTTCAACCCTTTCTTCAGAATAGATGTTAGATGTTAATAAATGACATTCTCTCTGGAACACGATGTTGCGTTTTCAGGTTCCCTTCAGCCAATGACGAGGGGCCTCGCCTCCACGGCCCAGAACGCCGTGGTGGAGCCGCCGGCCGTCCTGAGGGCGGCGAACAAGCCCTCGACACCGGTGGTCGCGGCGGCGTCCACGTCGCCGTCCGCCTCGGCGCCCCTCGATCTCAGCGTACGCAGGTCGCCGGTGCACCAGGACGAAAAGGAGAACCGAATGTCGCCGACACCGTCGTCCCTGCCGCCGCCTCCGGGCAGTCCCAGGTCCAGAGGCAGCGGTAGCCCCAGAACGAGGTCCATCGGTCCGGCCCAGACCGCCGCCGTCGCGCCACCCCCGCCCACGGAACTCGCCCTGAGACTCGCTGAACTGCCGCCGCCCCCCGTCCCCGGGGTGCTCGTCAAGCAGGGCGTCTCCAGGTAAGCAACCGGTTTTCTTCTGAAGAATCAGATTGAGTCTCTGGAAGTCTGAATCTTTTAAATCTCTATATGCTTTCTACATGTATAAATTTTTGATCCTTGAAACTTGTGAGTCTTTAAACTCTTCACTTTGGATCTTCAGAACCCTTTTTATTTGTTCGTCAATCACGAACTTTAAAGAATTTTCCTTGATTTTTGAGATCTTATGAGATTAGCTTTTCTTGGAATTATGGAATATATATCGTTTGTCCTTTCAAGGTGCAAGGAATGCAACATCGTATTCTGCCGACATGAGAACTTCGTCGCTCATAAGAAGCACTACTGCCAGGCGAGGGAGACAACGGTGAGCAACAGTCCGCCGCCTCCCGGCACGCCCTCGCCGCCCCTGGTCCAGCTCATCTGCGCCGCGTGCGGCATCAAGTTCGCTTCCATAGACAATCTGGTCGCCCATCAGGCGTTCTACTGTCCCAAGAGGCCCGAACCCCAGGAGCATCACACGCGGTGTTCTAAGTGCAAGGTAAAGTCTAATAAATAAAACAGTGAGAAGAAAGAAACTAAATATTACAAGATGCTTGAAGAATATCTGAAATTTTTTTAGGATGTTTAAAAGGCGCTATGAAAGAAGAATGTCGAAATTTAGAAATATCATTAGACACAAGCGCAACGTTGAAGCCTAAAATATCTCTTTAGAGGTCTCGACTTTTTTTAAACAAACCCCGTTTCATCTTTGTTAAGATCGATGATTCCGATTGCCCGAAGGCAATGACGAAAAGGATTTAATGAGATATAATGGCTTGTCGCAGGCGATGATAGAACCTGGAAGCAGTCATACCTGCACCAGCGGTACGACTGGTGGCTGGCGATGCCCGGTCTGCGGTGCCGTCAGTCCCACGGCCGGCGCCGCTCAGCGTCACATGGACTCCCATCAGGGCGTCAAGGCCTTCCGTTGCACGATCTGTCGTTACAAGGGCAACACTCTGCGCGGCATGAGGACCCACATTAGGATGCACTTCGACAAGCGCGGCACTGATCTACAGGTTGGTCTCTCTCTTCCTGTTTTTCAGCCTTATATCGCATTCTTTGTTAACTGCTTAACTCTTTCTTTGTCTAAATACAAACTAAATTTTAATATTGCCTTTTTGTAAAATATTGGATAAATATACTAAATATATGTCTTCGAAAAAAGTAAATCAGAATTAAGTCTTTCTTTCTTTTAGGAAATATTTAGGACGCACCTTTAACTGAGAGAATCTTATGAAACGTTCTTTGTCACAGGAGGAGAATTATATAACGTGCGTGCTGGACGACGAGGCGACGCTGTCGACGCCAGAACCCGTGGCTACCACGACGCCAGAAGAGATCCCTGTTGAGATCCAGGTGAACGGCAAGACGGAGATAAGGAAAAGCCCGCAGCCGCCACCACCGCCGCCACCGCCGTTGACGCCGGTGGTCGCTGGCAAGGTAAAGCAAGAACGCGAGGACACGCCGCCGCCGGACGAGAGCCTGGACCCCAGCAAGAGCGGGCCGCGCTACTGCCGTTCCTGTGACATCAGTTTCAATTACCTAAGCACCTTCATCGCCCACAAGAAGTTCTATTGCTCGAGTCACGCCGGCGAGGCGAGCAATAACAATAACAATAATAACAACAATAACAATAACAACGCCAGCGGCCATCCGACGACGCCGCCGACCGGCAGGACCGAGGCGTCGGTGCTTTAAATCTCCGAAGTTCTGCGGACAATGACTTCTCCGCTGTTCGTCCCCCTTCTCGGAGGACCTTCTAGTGTTTCTTTTTTAGGATTTACTTCGAAATAAGCGGGAGTGATAATTCGGCAATAATTTCTGAGATTTGTCTATATATTCGTGCTCCGAGAATTAATTTGACTAAATGAAGAAGGAGAGACCCTTCCCCCCTTCATTTTGAATTATCGCAAATTTTTTTCAAAAAATACGAATAATATTTTTTCGAAAGAAGTAGTTTTGCTAGTGATGTAGAATACATTACATTCTTATTATTTGATCAAATTAATTTTATATCCTGGAAATATTTATAGTCCTTTTTTTAAAATTAGACCTGAGGTCCGTTGCTGCGTAAAGTTCCAATAAATTTGTTGAATTTGATGAGAGAAAATATACAAATGTACAATTACAGACCGATCGAAGGAAGGCATAGATAGGGAGAGGGTTGTACTCTATTTTAAATTTTATAAGTTATATCGAGTTATATCCAATATTTTTAAATGTTTTGTCAGTAAATTTTTTAATTTGCATTAAATCAGCTGACTAAGTGAAATTGAGAACAAACTACAATCTTTGCTCATTTCCGAGAAATAATTTATTATATTAGAATTTTGTGATCGATGATTTATCTTACAATACAATACTCGTTCATTTTATTACGGGATAATTAGCAATTAAGCGAATTACAAAATCGATCCGTATGCGAGCTGTGATGTTCGTAAAGCTAGCCCCAGATTATGTACGCAATTCCAAAAAGAATTCCTCACATGAATTACATATTTGCTAATGGTCGAGCACCATTAACAAATATAGATGAAAATAGTCGAAATATCGCTGCACCGAATATTTGTAGAATATTTTCCTGCCCAAATCTTTAGTATCGCATAATATAAGATGGTAAGCAGGAATCGAATCGAAAACCTGGATCTTTTGCTCGACAAGTGCTCTAACATTGACTAACTATTTAGCACCCCACTTCCGTGAACGTCACATTTTGTTAGAGAGGTTCCTTTGGAAGAGAAAGAAAAGGACGAGACGTGTTGGAGACGCGATGACCGACTCTAAAAGCGGGGACTGTTTATTGTTGCCAGTTTATACATAATATAATAAGCGATTATCGGACTTCTTAGTTGAATATTTTAATTACGTTGTGTGATTTTTGTTGACCCAGGGAATCGTTTGTACTTATAAGCCGAAGGTATCTATGTGTAAATATATGACACACTCATATATACATACATATATATTTATTATAATTGTATTATATTATTTCGAATTGCACTATAAAAAATTTTCAAATATTTCCAAGTGTTTTCCGAAATATAATATATAATTGTAATATATATATGTATATATAAAACATTGTATAATTAGGAATCATTTTACGCGTGTGTGAATGGACGAGCTTGCAGGAAAGGGTTGCAAACAGAGTCATGGCACACAGTTAGACATATTATTAAATCTACATATAACAAAATAAAATATAAATTATTTTAAGAAAGAAGCTTAATTCTTTCGCGATAAGTTAGTATTGTTTATTTCTCATTACCTAAATTAATTTGTAATATAATATATTTACATATCTATTTTCTATATTACGTACTACTTCTTTTTTCTTTATTGTTTATTCTTCATTTTGTCTCTTAATTGAAAATTCAAGAATCAGTTCGAGAATGTTTCACAAATAAAAAGGCCTTTCGACATAAATTAAGTTATATCTAAATTATACCCAGTATTTTATACATATACATGGCTCTGATTGCAAGCGATCTTTTTTGGCGATCGTCGCCTCGTTTCGACATTCTTGAGGGACAATTTTTGAGAGTGCCGGAAGGAATCGGCGAGACGCCGCCGTCGTCCTGTACATATAATAATTGGCGAAGAATAAAGTGGAGAAAGAAAAAAAAACGACTGGGCTCGACGCCAACACGATCGATCGATTCGGGCGTTGCTGTGCAATCTCATGACTCTCCAATAATCTCGTAGCGTTAATAATCGACATTACCTTAACGAAGGAATACGATGAGTGTAAAATGTTGTACAGTAGGCGAGTAGAGTATTACGGAGCGGTAGTAAACGATCCTGATGAATGATACCAATCTCAGCTTGTGAATCTGCTAAGTTACGTTGCGCAATGTATGACATTTAATATATATATTATATATATAAATAAAAAATGGTTACGCATGTCCGCGAAAATTGCGCCCGCGTTTGCGAATAATAACGTGAATGCGTCGATAAATATCCATTGAGAGAATTTAAAGTGCATTTATCAGAGTCATATCATAAAAACGAAAGAATTAATGGCAAAAAAATTTCCTTGCTAGCTATTGTATTTATTTATCACAGCGTTTAAAAAGAAGAAAAGAGCTAAGAGAAAAAGACGGAAAAATTTAATATATTAAATTTAATATTCTTTATACTTTTAATATTAAATACTTCGATAACACAAATTAAACTTTATAGATCGAATCAGGAGTCGTGCAAGATTTTGTTAATTTTTTAAGCTGCTGAAGCTCAATCGGAAAAAATATATTTTTAATGACAAAGATAATTTAATATTCATAAATGTAATGTTTTTATTTAAATAAATGATTAAGGAAAGCTCGACTCCTTAAATTCATCGAAGACTTAAAATTTCGTAGAAATATTTAGGAAACTCCTATTGGGATGTCTCGTATATATATGTTGCAACTAATACAATTTTGCGACAGAAAGGCCGACGATCTCCAAACGCCTTCGCTTATCGGCGTTAATATTTGGATTTTTATCGGCGCACTCGGCACCCCGTGCACTCTAAATCAAAATCATCGTACGTGCTCGCGAAGCGGAGCGAGCATCCCCCCCTCGTCGCAGGGCGCGTGTGAATGTAATATAAATTAGAATTAAGGCCAGTGTTACGTGTATACGCAATGTACTACTCATATCATACGACGAGCTCGTTAATTAATTAAAAAGAATAAAAAACATAAGAAACATGCCGACCGTTGTCCGCGCGGCGAATTCCACGGCGTGAGAGAGACTTCGAGGCGTGAAATCGCGAGAAGAATCTCCTGCAAGAGACAAGTAATCTCGTCACATCGACCGGATTTATTCCCTCCGCCCTCTTCCTCCCCCCCTCGTTCCCGATAATTATAGACGATTTCGAGGTAATTTTCTTCGATCCGCGAAAACACCTTTTGTTAAACGTTACGTTGTTAATCGCGGACCGAACTTGTGTGTGCGTGTGTATGTACGCGTGTGCGTGCTTGTATGTACGACGAAGAAAATTTATAAATCCACGCAACTGGTACTTCCAACAACTTGTTATAATACGCTATAAATCTGGTGTATATCATTACATGCCATATCCACGACGACAAGTAAATTCTTTCTTCAACAACACAGGCACATCCCGCACCATCCTTCCGGGGGATCGATCGCTTAATCTTCTCATGGAAGCAAACGCACGCGGATCTTTTCGCGAAACTAGTCGAAATCGTCCTCGTGGTCTTTTTTTTTAACTTTTATAGTTGCATTCACAAGCATTTCTCTACTCAACTTTTTGGTCCGTAAAACCATCGGAGATTGGATTTTTTTCATTTGATTTTACGTGATCGATCCTCTCGTCTCTAGGCTTACTTCTTTTGCCATTTTTATTTTGATAGACGGATTTTACATGCGAGAAGTCTGTAATAAATATATATAGACAAATATATACAAATAAAACTTTATGCCATTTATAATTCACTTTTTTTTTACAAAGAGAAACGCGAAGATTAAAGAAACTAAAATATGCTATTCAACATATAAGTGTTTTATAATCACGCGTTTTTATAATTTATTGACAATGTATTTATATATCTTTCACCCCTTCATTATCTGATATTTCTTCAATATCTGATATTTTTTCATTCGACGATCTTTCTTCCTTATCTGAAGAGTTACTTTCAGTATTTGACAAATCACTGTCGGAGTTACTCTCCAATTCCTGTCTTCTTCCATAGCTGAATTCATGCTGTGTAGAATAGTATAACTTGTGATCGTCGTTATATATGTCGAAATTATCGTCAGAATCATCATCGCGAGATGAACGATCTGGATCCGTATCAGGATAATCATTTTTCCAATGTGATTCTGCATTGGAATCTGAGGAATCATCTTCGTCTTCAACACCCACATCTGAGTCGTATTCTGGCCGCTTCACAAGTATATTATTGCTGTCAAACATGTCAAATACGTTGTCAGAGGTTTGCGCATAATATATATCATACACGTAATCTGCAATATCCTGAAACATACCGTTTAGATTTGTTTATATGTTTTATATACCTACATACACACATTTCACTTCAAATATTTCAAATATTTCACATTTTACTTCATGTATTCCTACTTTTAATTTATTTCGTACATGTGCATACATTGTAAAAAATTGTCTATTTTTATTTTCTACCTCTCTGTTTGAAAGGCTACTTCATTTTTGCACAATTCCTTATTTATGTCCGCCATACTCGATTCATTTTTAATATATGAAGCTAATTCTTTACTACAGCATATATATTGTAAGGGGAGTCCGGGAGACTTGACCATAGAGGAGAGTTGAACCAAATATCTCGTTCAAATTTTGAACAAAGAGCTCAATCCGAGCACGTGACAACATGACGCTTTGAAGTGCGTTTCGACTGTGATTGAGACAAACGTGTTTTAACGTGCTCGGATTGAGCTCTTTGTTCAAAATTTGAACGAAATATTTGAAGTGGTTCAACTCTCCTCTATGGTCAAGTCTCCCGGACTCCCCCTACACGTCAGAGAGCGAGTTTCTTTTATGCAAAAAATTGATTGTTACATAACTTACTGCTTCAGTGTGACTTGTTAGACGGGAAATACTCCAGCAATCCTCCACTTCTACGAGCGTCACCCACTTATCCTTAAGCTCTTCCTCGTTTGACGTATCCAGAGAATGCTGGCAATCGATAACTTTGTATCTTTCTGTCGTTGAGTCCTCGTCTGTCCATTTGGGTATCTTTCCAGAAACATTTGCAGGATAATCATAGTCGAATGGCCTTTTGATACCGGCTTGGTAATTTTCTGCTTTTATTTTAGGTAGAATTTTGGCCACATGCTTCGTGACGTCCTCAGTCTGAAAAATATATTCAACATTCAATTTTTATTAGTTTCTTATTCATACGGTTTATAATAATATTAACATATATAACATATTAAATATGATTAAACATATATAACATATAATATGATTAAGAATTTATCCTTATTTTACTAATTCTTTACTTCACAGTTTAACTATATTATAACAATAAGTTGTTGTTAGAATTATAAAGTATGAACACAAGTTGGAACTTGCTGCAATGGTTAAGTACACAAACTGCTGTACTATTTCAATAATTTGTAACTTGGAATTTGTAACCTTTGCAACAAATGCCAACTTGCGCTCATACTTTATGACTTTATGATTCTAACGTCTTATTGTTATGATTACTATTGTTCTTGATTGTCGAATCACTGAAGATAACCTAAGGTGTTTTTTGCTGCTGAATTCCCTACAATGTGGAGTAAAAGAGATAAACTCTGAACTAGTGCAGCCAGTTTAGCAATAGAAAACAGACCCTTTGTTCATTTTTATTTAAATTAAAATACATAACTGACACCAATAACTAGCTCAGTTCATTAGTCCATTTTATTTCCTTCAATTTTTAATTTATTAAACCTATTAAACCTTGAATATAGACCTTATTTCTATTTTTTTTTACCTGCTCACAATTAACTTACAACTATCCTAACCTAAAAGATAACCTATTCTTTCCCAGTGGAGTACATACGTCTACAGGAGAAAATTTGCGATCGTTGGGTCGCGGTTAATTGTGTTAATGAGGATAAAAATCATTAGATTCTCACCGGATCTGTGAGTGTGCCGGCAAACTGAGCGACAGTCTCCAAAGTTGGGGTATCCGAACGCGAGACCTCAGTTTTCGGACGTTTGCACGCGATGACCAGCGTGTCCAATGGAACGTCGGTATTTTTACGTTTTACACGTAAAATTGCGGCCATTTTCAACGCAAAATATAATATCAAGCCACAGTAATCCAGATACGTTAATCAAGGTGCGACGCAGTTTAATGTATTGATACCAAGCGACAAACCACGACAAACTGCGACAAACAGTCTGGCAGTCTGGCGAGGTCAGTGCACAGAACAATA